TACAATTACAGATGTAAAAGGGAAATAAGTGAAACCACCAATCCAGAAACGCCTTGCCTGCCCCCACCACATGCACAGTTTTCAAAGGATATAGAAAGAGAAGCATGGACTCAATGAGGCCACAACCCTCCCTCTGACCCTACTCAAGCTGCACGTCAGGCACAAATAGTTTCCTGACAGTGGGCCAAATAAATACTTTTCCTTAAGCTCGACTCCTACAATTTTTATTCTTCCTTTTGTTCCTCATCAGCTTAAGTCAAAATTACCCTTCTCACAGTCACAGAAATTGAGAAAAGCATTTTACCCCCTGTTGTCAGCAGATTGCAATGATTAATCAAATAGCGCATACAATTTCTGTTTAATATGCTAGGGGGCACATGCGCACAAACACACACACACACACACACACACACAGTCAAAATGGTCTGAATTCTACACTTTAGCCTATATAATATATGTACCATTTATCTGCTCACTTTCATATGAACTACCACTAGTGTCAATGATCCATAATTAGTATTCACATGAGGACAATTTTAAAACTGGTTAAAGTTTAAACTGGGAATGGATGGGCAACTTCACCAGACAGGTCAATGTGACTGAAAACTAGAAAGGTTATGCAAAGTATGAAGGCTGAACCCTGAAGTAATTTCCTTTCGTTGTTTTTTTGCAATCAAGTCTAATGACCCATTGTAAAACTATGTTAGGTGGAAAAGTTTGACAGACAATACAGACTAAACTCACTTCAACCTGTGCCCCCCTCATCTCCCTAAGGCCTAAGCTAAAAATAGACTGTGTACTAATACTCTAGTTCCATTTCCTCCTTCTCCAGAAAGCTTTAACAACAAAGAGATTTGAGAGCTAGCATGTCTCAAAGGGGAAAAAAAAAAAGCCCTAAATCTCTAAAGCCCTAAATTCAAAAACAAAAAAGAATTTCAACATTAAGCAATTAAAATGCCTTCTCTAAATTACAGAGTAAATATATTATCTTGCCCGCTATTATATAAACCGTTTCCATCCCAGCTTGTACACACATACTGTATTTTAAGACAGTTCTTAGAACGGTTAAGAAAAACACTAATTTGAGTAATCAGCGCAGAGACAACCTGTGGTTCCCATCAAAGAGAAACCTTCATCTTGTTGGCACATGCTAGGGACTGATCAGCCCAAATAGCTGTTAAATTCTGTGCAGGAAGTTTGCTTAATTAGAGCATTTGTTAAGTACAACCATGTTCTCTCCTAACCTATAGATACTGCAGCTCCTTAGCAGTATCTTCCTAACATGTTTTGTCATCATTATGAGTTACCAGGAGACTAAACATGTGAGTGGAAATGGGGTGCGCCCCAATGACGTAAAAAAATATTAGGTCCAACTGCTGTAATCAACAGAACGCTTCCAGTTTTATAAATGTACTTCATCTGCACATTGCCCAGATTTACTAAACTGTTAAACCAGTGCCTTGCGTGTTGAAACTATTCCATTTGCCAGGAAGACTTATACAGTCTGGCTATATCTTTGCGATTGTGGCATTGAGAAATCTAATTTTGGGGCTGAGAGGAAATTCATGCCTAGCCCCTTGAAATTTATGACTTTCCTCATGAGGCAGTATACCGAGTTCACATTTTGTCAATAAGAATTATAACATCATAACAAAACTGCCTGAAGACACCTCTAGTTAAAATAAATCTTGGGACACAGTATCTGTAAATATTAACCAGACATGACTCGCATGTACTTATGCACACTATTATAAAAGAGCACTTTTGGAATCAATACAGTTTCAAAATTTACCCAATAATTAAGAAATTTCAAAGTCCCATTAGACTCATGAGAAAAGTCACAGTGATATAAAAACAATGCATCACAGGGTCTCTTAAATACTCTATAGCTCTTTAGACTGTTAGTGTGATAAGCATGAACACGAACACTTTCTTTTGTTTTTTGATAGCAGATGGATGCAAAGGTAAAAACGCACAAAAATTGTTTACTATAGAGAAAACTGAAGTGGAGAGCTGGCAACAGGCAATTATGCTGTTTCAAACCCATGAGGCAAAGATCACTGGAAAGCTCTACTTCTTGAATCCATTTCTTGAATCAGCAGAATGACACTATTCTGAAGAGGGAATTGCTGACAATGACTTGAAAACTGAGAAAGCTAGAAAATTACTCTCATATTTTATAGAAAGATCTACATAATTCCAAGAAAGTCATTTTCTTCAGGGGTACAGTAAAGTTTCAACCAAATCCAATAAGAGCAAACAGTCTCTTGAACAACCGGAAGGAGAACGATCAGAAAAAACAGGGGAGGTGGAGTAATTCTACCAGGTTATCCTCTTAAGTCGTGCACCGCAAAATTCAAGTGTCAAAGAAAAATCTAAGATATCCCTTAAGAAAGGGGAACATAAGAAAAGCTACATTCAGTTTTTAGAGGACTGTACCTGAAAACTGGCAACTAGGACAGTAGCATTGGAATCTAGACAGAAAATCCAGGCAACTCCATTCGGCAGGCCGATCCACAGAGACTGCTGTCCTACAGAGCGCAGATGCTATGTGGTTTGAATTTACTCAGTTTAAACATCCAGTCTAAACTTTTCTTCAGCTTTCAGTATATACAGAGACAAGCTACAAGCGTATACCACCCATGCAATCTTTTAATTTTATTTTTAAAAGATAAATGAAGAAAAGTACATCATACAACTATGTCAAAAATCCAACTGAAGACTTAATAATTGAGCTGGCACTCAGTCATTCACAAAACCCACCATATGCCATATCTGTCCTCTGAATCCACCTAAGACTCCAAAAGTTGTAACAAATGACACAGACTTAAGACGATAAAAGGGTTGCATTTTGTTTGGTTTTACACATACAACTTAAAGTTTCTACCATATATTTATTTAATAGTATAAATTATTTTTAACCAACAATGCTATTATTTATTAGTGTTTCACTTAAGCTAGGCAATGCAAGTTCCCCGTTTTCACTATGCTTCATGAAAGATTCTAAAGAATCACATTCTTCTTTCTCCATTAGTGAAAGGTGATTTCCAAATAGGTAAATTCATTATCTTAAAAAAATTAAAAATAATTTTGTCATTTAAGTAAAAACTCCTATTTCTATGGTTGGCTTTTGCAAATGCAAGCTTTTATCACCATCTATGACCCCTGCCAATTTGCTGATGTTATTTTGATTTAAAATTTTATTTTTTGTTCATTTTCTCCCAGAAAACTTCAGAAATCCTGTGTTCCATTACCTTCTGAGGAAATTCTGAAGAAATTGGCACTACGTATGGAATTCAACAGCCCTTTTTAAAAACTCCTTTTTATTCAAATCACTGACATAACTAGAAAGGAAGTAAAATCTCTCCCAGAATTCATGCTTTTCAAAAATTTTGAATGCACATGAGAAATTTTATACACACTAGTTTCCAGTATTGCATCAATATGTAAAATACAACCTTAAAATCAGTCAGGTGAAAAACATCATTTCAACAATTGGTACTAAATTATTTGCCTTCTTTCTAGTCATACAATATTCAATGGCAATACCCAGAATAACTGTGTTATCAAAGGAACAGTAATGTCCTGAGTCAGTGTAACTACTACAAAGCCCATTTTTGTAAAGGGAGGGCATGCTGACCCAGGTTATCATCTAACTCCCTTAAAAATAAATAAAATACCTAAAAATGAAATAGAGATTTGAAATATTGGGCTGTTGTAAAAATCTTGACGTATACCATCTCCATCACATTGCCACAAACACTATGATATTTCTGGGACAATAGTTTGGTTCATTCCGTAACAAAAATGAATGTTTCTTCTTTGTTTGTAT